AGTTGCACATATTAAGTATTCAGACCTGCCTGGTGTCTCACGAAGGCTTGATACTCATTCAAAGGTTAAAGGAAAAGAAGAAGTTCTTTTTTTTTCAAAATCACACTTGTATACCGCAGCAGAGGGAGGTGACGATTGTATCACAAAGAATAAATGACAGTAGTGGAACGGGCTTCGATCGCTTTTCACTTCCTGCTCCTTTTTTTTCACTGTTTAGGTATCGGCTACTCTGTGTTTTCCCATGGCAACCTCAATCGAGCTCTGGACATGAAAAGCCCTCCTCCTCTGAACGTGGGCACTGAAAACCTGCGGGCAGATGGTGCTAATCAGGCCATGGGGGCCACACGTGCTAACCACAACTCCGCTGTAAGTAGCTGTGCTATCAAAACAAATAGGTGTCAGTGCCTCTAATAGATGTCGTACTGCTTCTAAAAACTAAAGTTCTTAATTAAACACCAAAACACATAAATAGTTCTGCAAACTTGGACAAGAAACTTCACAGGTTTTTTTGACTCATTCACACCTCTCACAATTATAATATTCACAAGTTTCATAGTGTTCATACACTGACTTCACTACATCAGTACAAACTCAAGATTTCCAGTATGACTGTTTCCCTTTCTCTGATCATCAGAGGGGTCTTTTATACCAGGGCCTGCACAGCAGCAGCTCCATGGTGGCTATGGGGAAGGCAGGGCTGCTGAGTCACAGTTTGGGAGGATATGGTCTCCCCTCCCCTGGAGCCTCTGGTATGTCATCTGTGTTCTGTTACTATAGAAAGAAAGAAAAAAGAAATATATGAAAAATAGATGGCAACTAAAAAAGTAGTCATAGAGCAATAACTTGACATGTTAACAGGTTATATCAGAGTATTAATGCCACTCTCATGTCTGTATGGCAAAACTAAACCTACCACACATATACTCTCTTAGCATAGCTTAGGATAACAACTGCAAAGCAAGGATACTGACTGACTGTGGAGCAGTTCACTCCAGAACCTCATTATTAGTGCAAATATCTTTTCTCATTCTGAGCGGGGTAAAAAAAAAAGTTTGGAGTTTGTGCAGGACCAGGAGCTTGGAGAGTTTCAGGTGGTTTTCTGGTGAATTTATCATGAGAAAACATTGCCTTTCTTGCTAAACCCAGCCAGGAAATAGTTCCACAGAAGGTAAAAATAAATAAATGAATAAATAAATAAATAAGAAGAAGAAAAATAAAGGGAAATTTGGTTAGGGTTTTTTTTTTTACACTGTTCCAAATTAAGCAGAACATCGTCTGACTCTAACTTCATCTCTAGTGTACAGACATGAGTGATGGGAGGTTACAGTCTTCTTATCTTGTGCTCATCGATAAAAACTACAAAGGGTATTTCCCAAAATGTCAAACCAGCCTTGCTGTGAAGTGTATCTTGTCTTAAAATGAAACCATTTTATTAAACTGTATCTTTTCTCCTGTTTCCCCTCCTGTCCTCTGCAAATCGATGTATATCTATTCTTCCTTTGCAGAGTACAGCCAGCCTGGTTTTTATCACTCAGTCAGTTTACAACGAGGAACAGTAAACCCCTGGCAAGCGGCGCAGCCACCTCAGGAGCCTCATGGGCCTCATATAAATCCTGTGTGAGCATATCATATATTATTCTAGACATAATACAGTAAATCCACTGTATATATCATTTTGAACCATTAGTGATAGTTGACTCTTAAATGTCATGTTCACAAGCAGTTTTGACCGTCTTTAAATTATCTTCAAGCTACTTCTAGTGCTCTTAGCTGTAACTCCAGGACTGATGACGTGTTTCAATCCAAATTCATTTCCTCCACCCTCTTGTTGTTTTCAGAGGGTCCAGCGGGGGATGCTCTTTCCCCTCTCAGTCCTGCACGCCAACCTCTCCGCATCTGCCGTCCCTCAACCTCAACATCAAATCGGAGCGTAGCTCTCCCGAGCACATGGCCTCACCTACCTCCCCTCCTCTGCACCACCTCAGGCAGCATTCTCCAATGAGCAACCCCGATTCAGCTCGTCATACCCCTCCAGATAGCCATCCAGCCAATGGCACGAAAGAGTTTGCCAAAACCAGCTACCCACAAGACCAAGAGGAAGGAGGGCAGTCGCTCCGGCAGTTAGAGATGAGCGACGGCTGGCAGAGATAGCCAGCTGCTCCGCTCTACAACCCACTCTCAGTCAACATCTGTCTTCAGACAAAACCATAAAGGGTCGACGTATGCCTCTCTTTGTCTCCTCAAACAGAGCTGGTCTCTCCTGGGCAGTGGAGAATTCTTCTCTGCATCACTTGCTTGATCCCACGAGGAGATAGATGCATACAGACTTTTGCTTTTTGTTTGGTTAGGGTTAGTTTTCTGTGTGGAGCTAATGTGAATCAAAAGTACAAGTTGGAAATGTGATTGTTTTCTTGTGACTTTGTTGAAGTTGGGCACAGCAGCAGTGTGGGACCAACTGAATTTCTCTGAAGTGCACATATGAAAAAAAACAAACGTCCATACATATTCAGCTTTCAAAGCCAAAATAAAAAATAAATAAATTAAAAAAAATAGGAGGTACTAAAAAAGTAGCTTGACTGGGGTTTTATGTGATAAGGTTACACAACAGGGCATTTAATTGGATACGTTCTTAAAATAAAAGTTTTTTTTAGTTATCACAGTTTCCTTTTTCTCCTTTCAGATGTGAAAATACCTTC